TAACTTACAATATGAGTATTGATATGAAAAACATAAGTTTTTAGTTGAACTTCATAACATTTTTATTGAGCATCAAGTCTTCTATATTGAGTATTGAAAACATGCAATTGAGTGTCATGGTCTGTGTTCCTATATCTATAATCAACTCATTCATGAATCTAAAAAATAAACCCAAACATACATGAGTGAATGAACAAACAAAAGAAAAGAAAAGATAGGAGAACATATGAAGCAAAGAAAGAAGAATGAAGAATGAAAAGAAAAGAAAGAAGAGTGAACGTAGTGGAGCAGCGGCGGAAAAAGGAAGCAACTCAGCACTTCAGCCTATTAATTATCTTTCAATTCAAACTAGCTACTAATTACAAAAAGACCTGTATGTTGCGCGGAAGTTATGCTTATATATATATCCTGATTAATTAATCCGTGCTGGAGCTTAAAACTACGAATAGTATTGTGTTTGACATTACTTTTATGTCTCTGTTTGTAATAAGCCTTTGACTAATTATGTGGATGTGTAACAATTTTATCTTAAGGGACATACCACATTGACTTCTGGAAAAGCTTGAATTATAGGCGATGGAGCTAACTGAGCTGAGGTTTGAGTTCGTTGAATTGGAATCCAGAATTAAGATGCATGGAGGCGATCACATGGAAATAATTACGTTGCGGAGTAGTATTTTTAGCAGGCACATATTAAAAATAATTATAAATTTTCCTTAGCTTTGGATGTATATATAAAAAAGAAGTTGAAATAGAATAATTGTTATTAAATACTTCGTATTAACTAATGAGAAAATAGATCATTTACTAATAGATTTGTGTACATTAATGAGTTTTGTAATATTTGTTATAGAAAACTACGGAGTACATATATTGGCGGCAACTTGTATGGTGCATTTTTTCTAAAAATAGTGCATTCCGATCAAAAAATTGGTAATGTAGAAAAATTATAGGGAATGCGTATAGATGAGCAAATATTTATTAGTTAATTTATTTCATCATCGTTGACCAATTTATGCAATGGCTGTTTTGTCTTTTGTCAAGTAAAAGTGTGATTATTAAGTGTACATTTTTTATTGGAAATTATCCAGGTCCAAAATATACACAAATTTCAAAAATAGGACTAAAAAGTCACGGTGGAGGTAAAAAGCAATGATGAATTGCAGAAAGTGGAAATATCTTATATGGGATATCAGTCTATGATATGTTTCATCATTTTGGTTTCATAACTCAGAACGACATGGAACTAGATGAAGAAGTATTTCATAGAATCATAACAAGATAGATGAACACTACAAGAAAGTTGACTTTTTGCGGTAAATAATTTGCCACAATATGTATACTAATAGCGACCAAATTTTATTTGGTTGCGAATGTATACTTCGAAGTGAAAGAGTATGCCATGACTTCTTTGTGATCGTGGTATGTTGACAAGATTGAAGGATAAGCTAAGTTTTATGGAACAACCATATATGAGGGCTGAATTACTATATGCATAGAGTGTGGGGCAATGAAATGTTGTCACATTTAAAGGATAAGGGTGTTTAAGATGCGTATGTTGCATTGGATGTGTGGACATTTAAATAAAGACCGCTTGAGAAATGAGACAATCACACAAAAAGTGATTGTAGCACTTACTGAAGATAAGATGTGAGAGTCTCGATTGCAATGATTTGGTCATGTGCATTAAGGACTGCATGGTGAGATGCATGTTAGATGAGTTGAGAGGTTGGGAGAATCAGTGGAAGGAGAGGGAGAAGGATACCCAAGCAGACATGAACTAGAGGAGTCATGAGTGACGTGCTTCATCTTAATCGGGCTGGATTAGAGTATGAATTTGGAGAGAGCAAAGTGGGAAGAGAATATTTGGGTGGAGGATTGATCACTTTTCGTCTTTTTTTATCCTTTTATCTTTATTATCTTTCTTATTATTCTTTATCATTTTATAATTTTATATAACTTACTTCGTATATTTTATCTTTTTATCGTATTATTTTTATCTTAATCTTATTTTTATCTTATTTCATCTTTAATTTGTTTTATCTTTTTTTATACGAACTTATCTTTTTCTTTCTTATTTTTCTTATCTTCTTAGATGTGGTTTCATGTGGGATCCATGTTAGCTGACTATAGGGGTGTTTGGAACTGATTCTGATTCTGCTTCTTTTTTTAAAGAAGAAGCAGAATCGGAATGAGTTTTCAGAAGTTGGTCACCCCCAGATTCTAAAAAAACTGATTCTAGGAGTAAATTAGAGCACCAGAATCACTTCTGCACTTTCAGCCAAACACTCCAGCTTCTGATTCTGCTCTTTCAGAAAGCAGAATCAGTTTTAAGAATTAGATCCAAACACCCCTATAAATTCTTTGAAAACTAAGGATGGAATGTTATTCAGGTATTATTGTTGTAGACTTGTAGGAGTGTATTACTCCTATTTTGAAAAGAAAATAATGACACTCCTGTATAAAGATAATGTGTTATGTTATAATCTTATTTAGGAATCTTTTCTAAGAGGTCGTTTGGTAGCATGAAAATCGGCTGTTTTGGCTGATTCTGCTGAAATTTATGAAGTTCTAGTTAAAGTGGTTGCGTTGGATGATTCTGCTGATTTAAGAAAAAATTATTTTTAAAATAAATTTTATTAATAAAATAAAGAAAAAATTATATGTAAAAATAGCTAAAATGGTCATCTACAATTACTTCAGCCAATATAGTCAGAAAAGTAACCCCAACCTTACTTTTTCTGCTTATTACATAATTCAGCGCGCGAAAGCATAAGTTACGTGTTTGGTGAAAAGGTTGGCTAATAAGCCGAAAAATAGTGTTGCCAAACGGCCTCTAAATAAAACTATCAATGACCATTTAAAAGTAGAGTGCCGATTTTTCTACCAAGACTGTTTTTTTCATCATATCCTTGGTGAGGATAAAAGCTAAAAAGAATGAAAACCCTGTAGTTTTTTTCAAATAATATGCAGTCTTTGAATGAAGAAGTATATGGAGTCTACATACAGACTTTTTGGAAATCCATCGGGACTTTTTTTTCATTTACACCCTAATTTAAACCAAATCACACCAAATCAAATCTTACAAAAAAATTAGAGTCCAATTAAAAATATCCTTAAAATTAAATGATTGGGATTCATTTACATGTTGTTCAGTCAATTTTAAATTTTATTAGACTAGTTGTTGGACTTTATTCAGAAGAAAATAGTGCTTTTGTTTATCATATTATTATATGCCCCTTCTGATGAGTTATAGCTTAAGTGGTTAAATTAATTTTGATTATTACAGGTACCGAATAAGTATTATTATGAGTTAATTTTTTAAGTGGGGGCAATAATGATGTACTCCTTCCGTCCCATTTATATTATCTCGTTTTACCTTTTCAGGAAGTACCCTTAAATTGTCTCATACCATATTTGGCAAAGTTTGTGTGGCTCTAAATTATTCTTATTTTATTCTTACTTTATCAATTAATACCAACCACACAAACCCACTTTTCTTAATAACCGTGTCACCCTCTTCCGTCCCAATATAAATGGGACGGAGGTAGTATCTGATTAAGGTCAACATCCTTGAACTGGGATGATATTCGAACTTGTGACCTCCTCCTTGGAAGTGTCACAGTGATGTCATCTAACCACAAGCTAAGGTACGTACATGGCCAATCCCTATCATTTTTAATAAGCTTAAATATTATTTAATTTCCTGCAAATATGACACGCTTTATTTTATGTCTCTGCAAAATATTTTTCTTATTCTTCACACTGCAATATAGATTATTTTGTCTTTAATCTATCTCTAATTTCGAAACGACTCTACTTACAAAATAAATTACTGTCAATTATGAATCTCCTAAAAATATTTAAATTCGACATTTTAGGCTAATATGAGATTTCAAATAATGTAAAACCAAGTGTTCATATTTTAAAAATATATATTTAAAAATCTTCTAAAAAATAAAATTAATGACTTTTTGAATAAGTAAAGAATTAGAGGAAATCTATTAATCGGAATTAATTTTAGGTCATACAGAAATTGTTATCATCACGGATGGACTAAAAACAAAACCAACATAATTTGTAGAGACGAAAACAAAAAAACAAAAATTTCAAGAATGTAAAACAAAATGTAATATATTTGCATGGATTAAAAACATATTTAAACCTTCTTAATATAAGGTTCCTTTCAAAATGAGTGAACAATTATTTTTTATATATTTTTCGTGTTTTTACTCTAATAAAAGTATTGGTTTTCAAGGCATATAAAAAGATTGGATGAATGATTACCATAATTATTCTAATAAAATAAAGAATATTAACTACTTTTTTGTTGTCTAATTTGACCAGAGGGGTAATAAAGTTTGAACAAAAAAGCTGACTGCAGAAACTTTTGAAATAATAATTTGAATAACAAATAAATTTATGAATGACCATTCAAACATATATTCTCGACTTGAATGTCTAATTTCTAAATGAAATCAGAGTACTCTTTTTTCTACCAAACCTGATTTTTAAATTCTTGGAGAGAAGAAAAGCTTACCTCAAGAAAATGAAAACTTTATCTGGTTTGGCGGGGAAAAGAAAAGAGAGTCACATTGGAAGAATAAATCCATGGAGTCTATTTAGAAGGCTTTATTTCCTTAAGTTCTAAAACGGGACTCTATCTTGCTTGATTTTCTCAATTATAATCTTTTTCTATGTTATTTTCTCAATGAAAACTTTATCTGATCTGGTCTATATATCTTCATTTTCTCAATTATAATCTTTTATACTATCATAGTATCATGTTATTTTCATGTACTCCATTTCAAATTAACTTCACTTTTAATTTTTACATAGTTTATAAAATGTCAATCCCGCATAAGTAATACGGAGTACTTGTTTAGAGATGAGAAAGTATATATCAAATTAAACGCATAATGCTTTTCTTAAGTGACAGGCAAAGGTAATTTGAAATGTCTTATAAATACTTCTATATAGAATATTTCTTTAATACTTCTCAGCTCTTACAAAACGATATTATCTTTTCTCTCCCATTTCTCTCTTCTCATTTTCTCTTCAGACCCAAAAATTTAAACTGCGTATCCTCAAGGAAATGGATGATACACATATGGATAACCAGCCAAGTCTTGGTAGTAACAAGGTTTTAATACTTGTAGGTGTTTGTTTTCTCTTTGTATTTGTAGGGACTTTTGCTAGTCACAATAACCACAACTCAACCAAAGTTGAAACTGAGAGCACGATGACTAGGCCTCTCGTCCCAATGAGTAATGAGATGATTTGGAAGGCGATGAGTCGGCATTATTATTTTCATCATCATCATACTCATAACTTTATCAACTACGTGAGCAAAAGAGTTGTGCCAAGTCAGCCTAACGACCGTCACAACTGGTATGTGTATATATATTTATAAAAGATTTGATTACAAGGTGGTAAATATATGATTCGAGTCTGTATATATAGGTTTCGGAACAAATAAAAATCACGCCTAATTTCAAAGTTTTAAATTCGTCGCTTTTTCCTAATGTAATGCATTTTAAGGGTGGTCCGTTATTACCAAAAAAAAAAAAGGGTGGTCCGTTGCGGTTTTTGTACTTTGGTCGAGTCATGCCAAAAAAAGTGGTGGTTTTTCGGTAAATAAATAAAAAAATTCTTTCAATCGAAAAAAGTTCAACATAGAATCCTTATAGTGCACCCCGTTTGGGAAAAAAATGAAATGTTTGCAATTTTCACGGGAAGAATGATTTTTATTTGATCAGCACCTTTAATATGTGGGTGTGTACAATTCTTTTTTGAAGTGAAAAATGAATCTAATGTGATAAATGATATTGAATCTCATTTGTGCTTAATCAGCTTCATGTTGCACTTTATAGCTTAGGGTGCGGAATATTCGCTTTTGAACTACTATTGTGCACATTTTTGTTCAGCTAGTGCACTTTTTCACGTTTGCAAAAAATGCACTTTTTAAATATCATGTGGCAGAATATTTGTAAATAAGTAAACATTTTCACAAACATGAAAAAGTGCACACCTGAACAATGAAGTGCACAGTGGTGCTGCAAAGGTGTAAGTTTTGCATTTTACACGTTAAAATCATTTTTATTTGATTTGTCTCATATACTGTATTAACATCTATTTCATATGAAATAATTACATATTTATGACTAAAATAAAGGTTGTTTAAAAAAATGTGAGTACTAATTAGAGTAGTAATGAAATCATAGTAATTCATGTTCAATCTTTAAACTTAATTGATCATGATATTACATTGTAGTAACTATTAGTCATCATATTTGTGTAAATATAATATCTATTTTAGTAATATTTTTGTAAAAAACCTATTTCATATTGAGTTTATAATCGTTCCCTCATCCAAGATTTGCATCTGATTCTGCGTAATGGCTATTCTAGGAAGGCAAACAACCCACATAAAAATAGAATGTAGCCAGTGGTGAACAGAGGGGGGTGACAAAGGGGGGCTGCTGCCCCTCCAAAAAAAATCTTGGTATATTTACCCCGAAATTTTTAATGTATATGTATTTATATGTATACTTTTGTACTGCCGCCCCTGCTACCGGAAATTCCTGCGTCCGCCGCTGAATGTAGCTAAACTCAAGCTACATTTGCCAACGATTGAAAGAAGATTTATAGAGAGGATTTTTAAGTTTAGATGAAAATTTGAATGAAGAGTAGTAATTAATGATTGAATGGGGATAAAATTTCAAATTAACCAATGTATATAGAAAAAACTTGGCCTTCCCTCTCGTAGGGTTTTGAGACTTCCGCCTTTTCTCGTGCGGATCGAAGGATGGAGAACGGCGAGTTCCGGAACGGAGGCAGGAAACAGGCACTGCACTTGACCTCGGCGGGGCAGATGTCGCAGCGGACAGAACTGGGCAGCAGCGGCGCTTCCTCACTCGTGATCGGAAGGAACCAGGTCGAGGGAATGGGGCTGGGCGAGGCTCGTTCGGCGCCTGTGAAGGCCGAAACAGTGGACAAACTGACGGTACAGTACGAGAGGATGGCTCTGGACGGATAAAAAACAGGGAAGAGGCGGGTTGGAATACTCAGACCCGTCTAAACCTGTGATGATCGTGTGCCGCTGGCAGATTGGAGTTATCTTTGATTTCAGACTTATTTTCATTTCTGTTAGTTTTTCTTTTGGACATTGTTTGTTCTTATTTGCGTTCATTTTCATTTTTGTTAAGACTCTAAAACATAAGACAGGTGATGAGGAGCCTAGTTTGCCAGTCATTGGATCAGGTATGCCCAATTCGGGATCAGCGAATCTGGATGCTTCTTTGGAGGTGGCAGATTCTAAGTCTGGTTCAAGGGCAGACGGTAGACATTGGGCTCTTTGTCTGATTGTATTCTGCTTACGTTCATTCTTATCAATATAAGCCACCTCCTTTATTAAAAAAAGGATTTAATGGGAATTTTTTTCGTTGAATTGTAATTTTATAATCTCGTCTTTTGTAAGTTGGTCTAGTCTGGTAGGTATATGTTCTATGTAAATTTTACAACTGTCAAAATCTGGTCTAATCTAGTGTAATGTGGTCTTTTCTGATGGTCTATTTAAGTTTGGTCTGAGAATAAAACTAGTCTAATTAAAAACATCCCAAATTATAGATAATTAACCCACTCGTGAAAATAGTACGTAGTATATTTTTGTCTGATTGGTCTAATTTGTTTAAGTTTAATCTGATATAAACCGATATGATCTAATTGATGTATATAGTCTATGCATGTGTATTTTACAACTTTTAAAAATATGTTCTTATCCGATCTGATCTATTTAAATGTGATCTTGTTTGAGACTAAAATCAGTCCAATTACAAACATTTTTAACGTGTGGATGGGATAATGCACATATTTTAACTAATCGTGTATTGAAATTTAAAACGACATATGTTATTGTTTGATACACAAGTTTTATTAAGGTTTTCAAATGTAGCCTGTGTTTATAATGTCATTCATAACTTATGTGGATGTTTAACAAAAAAAGGTATAACCACACGGTCCACATTCCTGAGAGTCCCTTAAAATCGATTCAAAAGTTATCTAGGAAGATTAGACGCTGATCCAATTCAAGACTTTGTGTGAAACTAAACCCAAACATGTGGATGGGAGCGGTTGAGATTTGCTTTACTTTTGGAAAAGCTTCAAATTTGTGCAAGGGAGCGGTTGAGATTTGCTTCGCTTGGATCCAGAATTAAGTTGAAGACGTTCCATTATATGTAAATATTTTATTATCTTTACATGGGCATATTAATAATATTTATTATTACTATGTACTCACTCTCTCTTCCTAACTTTATCTCCTTTTACCTTTTTCATTTGTCCCATTAAATTTGTCTCATAATATATTTGGTAATATTTCAGTGGTTACAATTCATTCTTACTTTATTCACACTTTATTATCAATTGAATATTAATTACAATTCATTCTTACTTCATTCTTGTCTCAAGCATATCGTGGCGGAGGTAGTAATATAAATCACCATTGTTATTGACCAATTTAGTCAATGTCAATTTTGCCTTGTTTAAGTAAAGTGTGATTAGTGAAGCATATTTTATATCATAAAGTATCTTCCTACCGTTGTTTTGAATTTTGACTTAACTTTTCTACTAGCCTAAAATTTAATTTCATCTCATTTTCTATTAAGGAATTATTTTTGTGATCGATATCCCCCCATTTTCTTTCTTTTTTTGCTTTTTCTATATAAAAATGACATTTCAAAGGTGGAAAGATAATTTTAAAATGAGGTATTATTTACTAGAGGAAACGATTCAGCTCAGCTAATCGCCGACTCATTCTATCGAATGGAATGTCTGGGATTCAATTGAATACGTAGCATATAATAGTTGCAAAAAATTGAATTACAACCTAAAGCTAATTGCATACGGAGTATATTTTCGACGGTATATATTAGCAGATACTTCGTATAAAACTAATAGCCAGTGGCGGACCCACTAAGGGTCCTACGGGTCCCGGGACCCCGTGTAGTTCCAAAATAATACCTATATGTATTATATACTCGTATATTTTATATAAAATTAATTACGAAATGTATATATGTTACAAATGTTGTTTTACACCTATGGAATCGAGTAGCCGGATGGTTGTTCGCGTGTCAATAAAGCACGTTCCTGGTTAGGGGTTCGATTCCCCCAACCCCTTTTCCTTTTTTTGTCTTTTACATGTATTTTCTTTACTTCTTTTTTCGTTTGGAAATGAAAATACCCGAATGTTTTCTTTTATTGTTTTTTCCATGTTTTGTTGTTTACTCCTTCTTTCGTTTTTTTTAACTTTGCATAATTCATTTTTTACTTTTATTGTTTTCCCCATGTTTTATGGTTTACCTCTTCACCATTTGCAAATTCATTTTTTGGGCTTAATTATTAAAAATTATTTTTTTAAGATTAAATTATTAAATAGAAATTGCTCAATATAAGACTAAAACATATACAAAGTTTTGCATAATTAATTCATTTTACTTTAATTGTGTTTCTCATGTTTTATTATTTACCCTTTTCATAATTCATTTTTTTGGTTAACTATTAAAATTATTTGAGTGTTATGATTAAATTATTAAATAGAAATTGCTTAATATAGGACTAAAACATATACAAAGTTTAAAAAAAGGACTGATTTTGTTTTATTTCCCAAATGAGACTTATTAAATCCTATTAAAAGAAAATTTTGATTAAAACTTCTCAAAATAAGAGTTCATGAGTCACATTTTAGGATGAAGAGATATTTGGATAGTGTACAAGATTTAAAAAAATTCGGAGTGCGGGAGTAATTCAGATGTTAACTTAAATGATTCGCCATTAGTAAATGAAGAATTGGATCAAGTAATTGCTAAAAGTGAAACTAATTTGGCTTATAATCTCCATAAACAACATGTTGATTTTGAATATTTGGAAGCTGGTTCTTGTAGTGTTGATTGAGAAAAAAATGTTGATTTTCATCCTAATGATCAAGACGAGGTACGCCGCAGTTACCTTTAAAAAGGGCCGTTTCACCCTCGGGGTCATGATTTCCCTTCTAAGGGTAATTGGCGGCAAAAGATGTAGATTTGTTTCAAGTTGATTTGATAAGCATAAATGGTTGAAATACATTATTATATTGGTAAAGACGTTGCATTTTGTTTGCCATGATATTTGTTTAAGAATGAGTGTGAAGTTACGTTGTGATCTTTTTTTAGGAATAGGATTTTCATATGCGACATTTTGTTTACCATGTTATTTCCCTTGCAAGATGTTGTATTTTGTTTATCATGTTACTTGTTTACTATGCTATTTTTTAATTTTTATAAATTAGAGTGGCATTAGGATAGGGACCCCGTGGTTCTCTTTTTCTGGGTCCGCCACTGCTAATAGCAATCGCCTGCACGATGTGCGGGTTAATGCCCAATAGGGAACAAAACATAACGTGCGAGGTCATGCCCAATGGGGGGATTTGTAAGTGAAAGTAATGCAAAAAAAAGCCTATTTGAAGGAGTATAAGTAAATGAAAGTGAGCAGCAGCCTATATCCATGACAAAATTGTGAATAAATGATAATGGTAATGCATCCAAGAAAGGCACAATCCAACAAGGAAATGTAGTTTAGTTCAAAGTTGAAACACCTCAATAGGTAAGCAGCAGAAGAAGGATTGTAACATAGTAGGTTAACAGTAGCAGGCATATTAAGTTGTATCTGAAAGGTAATGAGACAATAAACTGACAACAGAAAGTTTGAAAAACAAAGTAAGCATTACAAGAAAATGATGGTAGTGTGGTGGAGGGTCAAGCTGTGCCAGAAATGCCCTTGCAGGCCTTGCTGCTGATCTCGTAGGTGTGGCTGTTGTTGGGTGGCTCTTCTACATCGCATGGTGAAATGGCAAGCAATCTCACCCTTCCACAGCCATACTTGAAGAAGGCCAGACTTTAATGGCTTTTGATGTTAAATAACAGTTGAATCTCATGCAACAGAGGATCATTCCCATTTCCCAGCCACAAAATATTCATCATCTTTTCCAAAAAAAAAAAAAAAAAAAAAAAAAAAAAAAAAAAAATTGGACACTGGTCTCTATCTCTTGTCACAACAAGACCTCAAAAAAGGTTTCACAGCGGTGCTGCATTGAATAACGTAAGTATAATTAACTAATGTTGACAGGAAATGTGGTAAAAAGCCAAAAAGGCAAACCCAGCAAATGGTAACTGTACATGGATGGGTCTGCGATTAAGACCAATAGATATTACTTTTAATGGTAAATTTTAACACCCCTACCTCAGTATGTGCCCACACAAGCCTTGTTTTTTCAGAAATGCAAATGGAAACTGAGTTTGGGGTTATAAGATACTTTTGCTATGGTAGTGGAAAATAGGTGAGCAAATGAGCATATCTCTGTTTATAGCTATGCAAACTTCAAACACATACAAACATATAGTGAAGTTCCGTTTTTCATGTTGGCAGAGGCATTGTTTACACGGGTATTGTTAAAATTTAAACTTCAGTGTCATTGGGTAAGGCAGAAGTAATGTTTAAACAAGTGTAATGTAATAAACGACAGACAACAAAGAACTGAAAGTGGAGAACTCATCCGCAATAACTGTCAATAAGTACGTAATAGTTGTTTTTGAATGCCACCGGTTTATTTTTAACATTTCGAGGAAAATTATGGATATGGCGAGGAGGAGGGGCTTATTGCGCAGTACACCTCTCCCTCCGAAATGACCAAGGAGAACCCTACACAACCTATGTAAGCAGATTTGTCGGACTATGAATTCGACACTTCTTCCAGATACTTTCCATCTGATCAAGAACTACTGGATCGATTAGCTGAAATCAAGATCACATCCATTCTAAAGAGGAGGAGCATTCAGATCAGATCAAGGGTCATCACGCTCTGCACTAGTTTGTTGGATCTCCTAGCATAATATCTTTGTTTTTTTTCTTTCTTTTGTTGCATTCTTTTTCCATTTTGTTATTTTTCTTTTCTTGCATTGTAATTTTTTCTAATATGAATAAAATTCTCCTTTCTTCAAAAAAAATCATGAAGACCCTCTTTCTTTGTAATTTGGGGATGAACGTAACATTTTAATCGAAACGTGAAGACCCTCTTTCTATGGATTGTGAAATGTTCTATTAGTGTTTACTTGAGGACGAGTAATAGACTAAGTAGGGGGAGTTTGATGGTATATAATTCTTGATGTTTATGTTTGTAATTTTAACTAGTTTAATTTTATTTTTTGTTGTTTACTCCAGTTGTCCGTTATTGGCGGTTTGACTTGACGGTTCCGACCCGAAGGTTTCACAACTCGTCATTAATGTTGGCCAACTCAAAATGGGTAACCTCCCGCCTTAATATCGTTACTAATTGCAATAATAAACACAAATCCGTTACAACATCCATCATTAAGCCTCATGAACGTATCATTGACTTCTGTGGTCAACCCTCTCTAATGGAACATAAACCGTCAAATTCTTGCTCTAACAATTGCCCCCTTTCGAGAAGTTGACGCGTACGATGCACAGGTCAGACTGTTAAGTGGCAATTTGTCGAAATTTTCTAAAGAGCTCTGTATCCTTGTTCATTATGCCCATTGACTTGCCAACGACTTGTCATGACGTATTATTGATCAACTCGTCTGACGAAAATGCTTCTGTCTTTCTTTGGAATAACCTTTGATCGAATCCGTCTCCTTAACTAAAACAACAGGAACTGAAAGCTGGCGTGTTATCTTCTCCCCTTCA